TCTTTAGTAGAACACTACATTCTAATAATGAAAGTGCATACGGTTGCTAATCCCTGGAACTATCGAAAAATTGTTACCATCAAAGCTGAGAAGTCGTATAATGAAATTGTTTGCAATCGAATATTTGGTAAGGCAAGGGAACAATGACAATATGATTGAAATGCGATGAATCTGATGGGAAGAGAATAGGACCAATAGACAATTGGTTGTGCATTTAACGGATGTTTTGTAGTGCTGCGCACGTCAAAGTAAAGAGCACTATGACCGGAGTGGCAGCTGTTTGCATGGTGAGAGTGGCATTGAAAATGCAGAAATTAATTCGGCTAAAATGTGGCTGATTATTAGTGAGTTAGTTAGTTAGTTATTCGCCGCGAGCGGCAACCTCCACACTAATTAGCAACTGCAGCTCATAAAGCTCTATGCCCTTGCCCTCGCCCCCGGCCTGTCAGCTTCGGTCCTTGAAACTTCAACTCGCTGACTTTTTTTCACTTTCATTATTACTAATGAATAACGTAAAGAAACTTATTATACGCACATAACTGTTTGATTGTCGCCGAACATAGCACAGCTTTTCAGATATAACCAACAATTTCGTGTGTATCTCATCTGCTATATACATGCATCAGGCATTAACAATGAATTAAAAACAAAACGACTATAAATTTTGCATTTTACTTATCATACTAGCTGCTCCAATTAAAAACCGGCTATTCAAATAAAGCTGAAAACGTTTTTCTCCTCAAGGCGTATGATGGAATCTTGATGAGGACGAATGACAAAAATGCAACACCACACAATTTTTACATATACAAGTGAAACAAGTGGAATATTTCCATTCATGAGTATTCTGATTGATTCTCAAAATATTTTAGTCATGAACAAAACATGGCGAAAGTTTGCTTTGCTATTAATGGATTGATGTGTTTGATCAAATTACTAACTGCATATTGACGTACATCGAACGTTGCGCTTCACAACCTTTCGTAACTAACAAACTTTTGCGGTGGTGCATTAGTAAAAAATCTCATTTTCAAAACATTTTGTACTTCAGGAGCGCATGATTTCAGTGTTTTTGATGAAAACTACGCTGCGATGCTCAGTGGAGACAAGGCCTGATCGTAAACATAGCTGGAATCTGAGGCTAAAACTTGGAACATTTTGGAAATTTGACATGTTATGAAGTGCAACAATACGCAATAACAATCAAATGAGATGGCACTACTTCCTAAGGATATGATCAGAGCTATCATATTACCGGTCTAAAACTAACCTCGCTCGTCACACGTGCTGAACAGCCCCACCACGGCAACATAAGCCCTATCTCGTCAAAACACCACATTATCTATGATATCACTGCAGTAAAAAATTACTATTCAAATACATTCTTGCAGACTATGTTCCTGCTATTGCAAAGTACTCATTTCAGCGTTGTTGTATAAACTGAAGATGCAGTTTTTTGAACGAGAACAATAAATCAACAGTCTATCGGTATCCATACTGTAGTCATATCAATTCATTTTGATTGACGAATAAGATCTCTGACTACTATTCGTAATCAGAGATTCATCCATAGGGTCTTCTCAGTGAAGTACTGCAAATAAAAGTCTCATCTATCTTGTCAGTATGGGGATATGCCGAGCGTGACATTCGATTAAGGTGCACAGTCAATTTTGATCAGCAACCTCATAATTGTTCGACACAATTGCAAGGAATAAATTTCGTTTCATTCAAAAAATATGTATAGCACTTCTGAAGCTACAGCTACACGTATGAAGCCATATTAGATGGATAGGCGATTCGATTTTAGTGCCTATCCTTATGTATTTGTTCTCTGAGTTGATCATTAGATACTAAAGTAAGGCAATTTAAGAACATAATGTTTAAGTCGTCTGTCCGTACAAACATCTTAGACAAATATGTGGAAGTTTGATTTCATAAGATTTTATAAGACAACGCTAGTTCTTAGTTAAATGCAACGAAAATACACGTGTCTTTAAGGAAAAGCTAGGTTACCTAGGTGTAGTAGATGCGACATCTATATTCGTATGAGTGTCCTCTTACTATGGGAATACCACAATCTTCACAGAAACAATGTATTTCTTCCTGCTCATCGCCAGGTGGAACAGATCTACAGAAACATAGATTTCCTTGACAGAAAGTGCTTATAACTAAAATTACAGCTAATCTTCTTTCTCAATGCCGAAAATTGCATGAGGCTCTAAGTTCATGCCTAAAAATTGTTTTGAAACAAAAACGTTATGCCTTCTCAAAATCACGTCCAGTTTCACCGTTAATCGGATAGAATCTGGTTAGACTCACTAACTTTCACTTTACAATATATTAAGGAAATTGTTACTTGGTGAGGTATTGAAAGAATCACATAACTGAAAATAATAAAAATTTTACTCCCTCAAGAACAGTATGTGAAAGAAAAATTAAACCTCAACCCGGTCCTCATCCTCAATATATACTCGGGATACATAATCAGAGGTTATATGGTAGCTGTTGAGGATTTATGAACAAATGGATGACTTAAGCACTGCAATCGTTAAAATCCCATATTTCAATATGACTCATCAACTGATAGATCAAATGTTTAAAGACATGCAACATAGTCGAATAGTTTAGTCATATGATACGAGTTCATAAAAGTAGCTATAACACTGGAACAGCGTTTCAAGTTCCCGTCGACAACATGTTTACTTTTCGAATAGAACGGAATCTGCTCTATTCTTTATTACCGAAGAATTGCTAACCAAAGAATTGCTGACGAATTCCATGCAGTTTCTGACCAAAATTAAGTGCCCACTTCAATCGGACGTAATATTGGGTGAATCTTCATATTGAGAAGACACTGAAACTCGATGAAGAACTCTCGGGATTCATCTTTTCATATAGCATTCGAGAAGTGTTTATGTTGTCACTGTATCTGTTTATGATTTGACTCCGTCTCAGTTGCAATCATTAACAACCTGATAATGTTTAATGGCGATTCACTGTGACTAAATTCTATTTGTTCTGTGTTCTATGAAACGAAACTGAAGCGTATCGAACATATGATTTTTTGAAAATATTTATTCATAGTAAAAATGAAATAAAACCGCAACAAGATACTTGTCCACGAAAAATACTGGATAAAAGTGTTAGAATGAAGCAGATAAAACAATGAGACCTGATGGTCACCTCAGACATATGCAACTGAGCAAATATATTGCTCATAAATTAATTCAACAATCGGAAATCCGCTCTAGATTTCGAACGATTGAGCAAACTGTAATATAGGAATACAAGAAGCTGAACAAAGTAACTGTCAAATAATGATTTCTCGGTATGCTTTGTCAACGATTTAAATTTTTACAAAAATCATATGATTATTTATATGGAGTTATCGTAACAAACCAAGAACATGCAAAACATCCCACAATTCAAAGCCAAGGAATTAAAACTTCATACACTATTAACTGCTTGGTCAAATTTTTGAAAAATCGAACTGTAAATACATAGCATTTGGAAAAAAGAAATCACAAGCGAAGAATGCGCCGTAAAACACTGATGCTGATTCATTTAAAACCAGACCAAGTTTACTGCTCGTTCAAAGCGAATCGTCCTCAAGTTAAATTCCTGCGGTTACCATACACAAGTATTCAAGTGAGTCGACGAAAACAAAACGAATTTTGCAAAAGTTACTTCATTCAGTGTTACAAGCAAAACGCAATAAAAAACATCAAAACGTACAACTGAACATACTCTTCGCGGTGTGTATATTCAAAAATGCGCACAAATATAAAGCCAAACGAAGTGATGGCACAATCCCTTTCGGTGAAACAATTCCTGACCAATTTTTGGCTGAACATAAAATGCTTAGCCACATCATTCAGTGAGCTGCGTTTCTCTCATTCATTACTCCCAAAGTTTCCTATAAGCGGAAACTTTTCTCCCTCTGGAACAAAATTCGAACTACTCTAAAGCATAAATATTTGCATTACATATGTACAGTTTAGCATTTGAAAAGTGGAGTGTTCGTTGCATTCTCACTTTGGTATGGCCAAGATAACAACGCATCAACGCACAAGCCAATTGGACGTCCACTGTGCCAAATCAGAAAGGCGATTGCGAGCCTCGTTGAAAACCTAAATACTTCGAACGTCATTTAAAAGTTGCTCATT